CGCCGCCCGCGCCCCGGCTGCGCCCCTGCGCGCGCGTGCGGGAGGGTGTGTGTCTGCGCCGTGGCTGCCGCCGCCGCCTGTCGCCGAGGCTGGCATCTCCGAGCCCCCGCGCGGGGGGCTGCCGCCCGAGCGCTGATTGACAGGCCGCCTCGCCAATGCCTGGAGGGAGAAAGGAGGTAAAGAGCAAGTGTTTAGGGTAATATCTGCTAATGATAATGGGGGCGGGGCGGGGCCTGGCGCCGCTGCCAGCCCTCGGGTCTGGACTGCAGGTCGGCGTCCCCGCCAGGGACGGGGAAGGGCGGGCAGGGGAGAGCATAGACCTGGAGGGTGCCCTGGGAACGGGTCCGCGAGCCGGGCGCGGGGTCCCAGCCAGGACAAGGCGTCGGTGCCTCCGAGGCGGACTGCAGGGGTCTCCCGCGGCCGGCAGCGTCTAGCTTCCCAAGTGCGCTCCTGGCGTCCTCCTGCGTGACCTCGAACTCCGGGAGTTACACCGAGGGGGTGGTGCGTAGTAGCGAGGGCGGGGCCGCCCGAGTGGGTGTGTGTTGCCGCGAGCTTTTCCAGAGGGAAATTGCTCTCCCAGCCTTTGGAGATTATCTGGAAGATCCTGGCCTGGTCTCCTGGTCTGCTGATGCTGTTTGTGCGGCCCCAAGGTCCTGCTCTCACTGGGCTCGCTAGTGGTTTCTGAGTATATGCTGATCCTAAAGGTGAATCTTGTGCTGTAATTTTATATAATTCCATTTGTTTTCACACAGGGACCTGACTTCCTAATGTCTCCCCATTATACAGATGAGAACACTGAGGCTCTGCGAGATTGAAGGGAATCGGCCAAAGTCAGACTCGGGAGCGAATGGCAGAGTTGCACAGATGACTTGAGCTCGCTTGAATTCAAATCCGTCCTTCTTATAGCGAGTACAGTGTCTGACTGAAAGGGGGAAAAAACAACACCTCCTTTTGTGATGCTGAGTAATTTTTAAATGTTATATATATTTTATTTTTAAAAATGTTATACATACTTTATATATGTGATGCATATGAGCTCTCCCTATCTCTCACACGCACACACTGGAAGGACTGAGATGGCCCCAGGGCTCTCACTTCCGGAGTTGACCAGTGAACTACTCACTGTAACCCCTGCCACCAGGCCAGAGTATCTGGCAAGCACACGATTGCCGTCTTTTGAGCCAAGACAAGCCCCGTGGGTTACAGATGTCTTCAAATGTAGAGGTTTCTTGGGCCTCTCTCAGCTGCTTTTTGCGCAGGGCCCATTAGCCCCAGCTCAGATCCCTGCTCCTTGAGGCCAACTTCAATACCAGACCCCGCTCTCAGGCTCCGTTTCTAGCCTTCACCCTTCGTTATCCAGGTCAGAATTCTGGGCGCTCCTTGATGTATAACCCTCATCTCTCCACTCGGAAGCTAGTTTCCCTTTCAGAGCTTTCCTTTCAGCCCTGGGAAGGTGACCCATTTTCTTCTTCTGGGTCCAGGACTTTTGCCTCTCGTTTCCCGGCCTCCCTTTAGAAGCACCCTTTCTTCTTTGCTGGTTTAGCCTCTGTGCTTCTCCACCCTAGACCGTCTCCCTCTCTGCTGTGGGCTTCTTAGATGGTGCTGTGCCCCCTTCCATGTATTAGAGATGAAATAAATAATGCCATAAATAAAAGTATTTGGGAGTCCAGGAACTGTCAGGGCTGATTAGGGCATAGAGGACATTTTCTTTCTCATTATGCAAAAGCATTTCATGGGGAAATAAAAGAGGTTTCATTGTAACTCATGCATGTCATATTTCAAGGAATTCAAGATATTAATCATATTTAACATTATTTGCAACATTTCTCCCTGGCTTCTGAAAACTGCTAAATGAGGACACGTGGATCACTGGGAAAAAGGGAGACAGGCAAGAGAGGGACAGTTAAGAAATAATGAAATGCTGGTGAAAAAGAGAGGGAGCATGAGATGCCAGGGCGATGTTTTTGAAGCACGTAAGTGAGAAATAGGCGAGCTACCTCTGAAACACGAGACAGCTGAAATTGAATGATATACTGGAGGAAATAAATGGTAACAAGCCTATCTGCACCTTCCCTTCAATGGAGCAGTTCAGAATTTTGCATTGGCATGTTCCCTCCCACTTCATTCCCAGCTAATTTTCCAGGGAGGGCTGGCTTTTGAAAAGAAATTGAGGTGGTGGTATGGTGGTTTAGGGGGGGATGCCCTTCAATCCTTTTATTAAAGAGATGATTCTCAGGACCTGGGGGCTTTTGTCTTCTGCTTAGGCATTTTTAATTTGTGTTATCTTTACCACTCAAACACCTTAAAAAATTGGAAACGATACTTCTGCTGTTATATTTTATCAACTAATTACTGGCGGAACCTGCAATCCTTTATGAAAAAGTGGCCCTACTGGCCAGATAGCCGAGCAGACTAAATGCTTAGGAAAGCGTAGGGACCAGGGTTTGATCCCTGGCACCACATGCCCTGCTGGCCCTGCCCCTGGGGCGCACTGAGCTGGTGACCAAGTCTGGGTATGTATGGTGGCACATGCCTGCAATCCCAGTGCTGGGGAGGCTGAAAACAGGAGGATCACTATGAGACCGAGCTGCATAGTGAGACCCTGTACAAAATACATTAAAAAAAAAAAAAACTCTCAAAAAACAAACTGTGGCCCTATCTATAAAACTGAGTGTTTTACTGAGTACTTACTTTGGTTTGAGTATCCCCTAAAAAGGATGTGTAGGAAGATTTATCCCCAAGGCAACAGTAGTGTGAGGTAGAGTTTACCAGGAGCTGCTCATACAGGCGAGCTGTACTCTCATGAAGGGATTCATACCTGTTACAAAAGTTGGACTCTATGAGAGTTTGACCTTGAGTTCTTTGTCACTAAATGAGTCCTTCTGCTATGTTACAATACAGCAAGAAGGCCCTAACCAGATGTGACCCCACGATCTTAGACGTCCCATTCTCCAGAACCAAAATAAAATCTCTGTTCTTTGTAAATATCTTAGTCTATGGTATTCTCAGTCTGTGGTATTCTGCTATCACAGTACAAAACAGACTAAGAAAAAAAATACAGTAATAAGAAGTGAGACTATTGCTATCAAAACTACCTTAAAATATGGAAATGGCTTTAAGAACTAGATAGTGGATAGAGGCTGGAAGAATTTGGAGGAGTAGGCTAGAAGAAAAAAAAAAACAGGATTTCTCTGAAAGGCGTGTTGATGGTGATTCTAATAAGGCAATCAGAAGAGAACCATTGGGAAAGTGTGAAACTTCTTAGAGATTACCTGAATAGCTTTGGTCAAAATGCTAGTAAAAATGTGTATAGTGAAAACCCCAAGATCACAAATGGAGGTGATGAGCCAGGTATGGAAACAAGACTGAGTACAGTGGCACAGGACTCTGGAATTGTGTCCTTGAGTTTGTGGAAGGCCCACTGACAGAGCGGTGAGCTAGGATTTCTCACAGCACTATCTAAGCAGCAAGGCATTGAAGGGCTTCATGGCTTCTTTTCATGGCTTATAGTAAAAGGAGATGAGAGAAGTGACTTTGAGATGGAATTCGTAATTAAAAGGAAAGCAGAGTAGCAGTATTTGGCAGTTTGCAACCTGGCCATCTGAACAGCGAAAGAGTGTTTGGGGAGAGAATATTAAGGTTGTGGTCAATGACAGGTTTTTTTCAGGTGAATGGCACAGCAGAGAAATAGGTAGAAGGAAAAAGAGAAAGGAGCTTTATTTTGAGGATGTGGAGAGAATTTGGGGAGATCAAGGAATTCTCTGAACTAGACAAAGGAAGGCTGAAGCTTTTATGGTGTTTTGTCAGGGGTGGAGTTTGGAGGGGATGTTTAGATATACCTGAGGGAGCTGATGGGGGGTCTTCCCTGAAGTGGTAGGAATGGTGAAAGTAAATTATGTCCTGGGCTAAGTTACAGAAGGGGGAGTTGGTCCTGGGAGCATAGGCCTTTGTTTTAAGGGCCATATTAGATGATCACCACAATGATTTTAGCAATTCACACTAGGGCTTGAACCTATCAGCCAAGTGACCTTTTGCTAAAGGGTCACTTAATATGGACAGAAGGCAGCTAGGTTCTTTTCTTCAGGACCTCGGGACAATGATCCTGGAGGCATTTCAGAGACCTTTGAGGCAAGCTAGGAATCTGAGGGCAAGTTGCCAGACTGGAATGTGTGGGATCTCAGGCGCCTTGGAAATTTTACGCTGTTGCAGTGCTCGGGCCACCCCAGGTGTGGCCCGAGTGAATGCAGGAGGGGCTGCTGCAGCCCTCAGAGCACAATAGCAGGCCCTGGGAGCAATCTGCGGTGCTGTCTCTGCAGATGTGCATCTGCTGTGGGCTGTGGGGCCTCCACCTAGATTTCTAAAGATGTATTGGACACCCTGGGGGTCCAGGCGGACTTGTGAGAGGGACAGAGCCATCACAGAAGGCTCCTAGTAGGGACAATGCTCAGTGGAACCCCGGAAGGAGAGGTGCTAGTGCAGCTCCAGCCAGGGAGATCTGCAGAGGCTTGGGAGTGGGACACCTGGGTGAGGGGCACACAGGTCCTCTGTGAGTCCCGGAAGTGGCATATGGAGTAAAGGGTTATTCTACAGGTTTAGGATTTAACGTCTGCCTCAGTGGGTTTTGTTCCTACTTAAGGCCGCCCTGCTCCTGAGCTTGGAAGTTCCCCAGATAACTTGTTTGACTTCACTGACTCACAGCTGGATAGCTTGCCTCGGGGGAACTGTGCTTGAGTCTCACCTATATCTCATCTAGATGAGGCTTTGAACTGTGGTTTTGTAAGTTGGCCCTGGGCTAATGACTTTTGGGGCTGTAGGGCTGGGCTGAAAAATGTGCATTGGAATGAATTGTATGTAAGAAGGACATGATTTGGGGGGCTAAGGGAGAAGTCATGGCTTGAGAGTGACCCTCAAAAAGCATGTGTTGGAAACAGTCCCCAGTGCAGCGGTGTTGGGGGAGCCCTACTGGAACACGGTTAGGTCCTGAGGGCTTCAGCCTCCTTCTGAATTAATGCTGAGTATGAAAGCATGTCTTGTTGCTGGCACAAAATACCGACACCCAAAATGAAGGAAGGAAACGTTTATGTCGCTCACAGTTGTGGAGGTTTCAGTCTATACTTGGCTGGGACCCTGGCAGAGTGGCATGTGGCAGAGAGCAGCCA